GCAGTTTCTGGTACACACAGAAGGTGCATTTCTTCTCCTCCCTCAAATGGAGTCAGCAGATACGTGTAAAATGGAGTCTTCTGGGGCGTTCTTTAACAAGTACAGTTATATGCAATATGTAATAATTCACAGTAGGGCGTAGCCTGACTTAACACAGCCAGTCAAGACAAGGCCTTAGAGACAGAGTTACCTGAGGGCAGTTACTGGCCCAAATGGCCCCGCTAGACCCCAGGCTGTGTCCACATAGGCCTGATGGACAGGCAGGGCAGAGGCCCAGCACACACCGATCCAGAATCAGGTTGTGTGCAGTGGTAGCCCTTGAGTCTTCTGAATTCTCACCCAGGAAGAAGTCTTCCAGAGCAGGTGTCATATAAAACAGAATGGGCCAAGAGTGAGCTGGGAACACGTCAGAGGTCAGACTTCAAGGAGGCAGGGCAGTCTGCCCTAGAGCAAGGTACAGAGCACAAGACAGAGTACCTTCTATAGTGGCTGGACATAATCTGGTGTATATTCTAGAACATTCCAGATAACTCTTGGCCACAGACAGAGCCTGTACCTTGGCATGTGGGGAAGAATGGAGATGTAAAGATCTTCCTCTAGGAACTTGATGAAGATGAAGAAGGAATGACTAGGTTAGAGCAACTGGGCTAGTTCCAAGCCTCAAGAAGTGAGCCCTATAAATGCAAGTTTCTTGTCCTGAGTGCCTATTCCAAAATATCCAGCAACCACTTCCCAAATTACCACACAGAAGCTTACAAGTTATAAATGCTTGACCAATAGCTCAGGTTTATTACTGACCAGCTCTTACATTTTAAGTTAACCCATATTCCTTTTTTACACTCTGCCACATGGCGGTATCTTTATTAGCATGGCACATTCATTTCCTGCTCCTTCTGTGTCTGCTGCCAACTCCTAACTCCACCCTTTTCGTTTCCATAAACCTTAGTTTGGTTGCCCCACCTATATTTCCTGCCTGGCTACTGGCTGATCGGCATTTTAGTAAACAAATTCAAGTGGCAAATCTTTATAGTGTACAAGAGGATTATTCCACAGCATTTCCCCCTTTTTGTCTAATTAAGATTATTCCACAGCAGAGCCCCATACCAAGAATCTAGGAAGCACAAGGTGCTGGCCAGCCATAGTCAGTAAGATGAGCACTGAACACTTTCATTAAAAGGCAAGCACCTTGGGAGTGACCTTGTCCAAAGTCACACACTGGGAATCATAGCCTGCCCTTTGGTCTCTGATCTCTACACTTTGCTCATGCTCTGTGACTCTATAGTATAAACAATGTTGGTTTCCAAGGAAACAAACTTGACTACAAGGTCACAGAACCCCCCCCCAAGGTAAAGCTACCCAGAGTTCCCCTTGGGTGAGGATAGATACCACAGTCCTGCATTTGCCCCAAGTGGCCTCTTACAGCCAGTCCAGTTGTCTTGCACCTGACTCCACACATGCTGAGTTCCCACTCCATGGAGCCCCACTCACACCTTCATGAGCAAACTCGGTGCTTGCCTCTGAGCAGGAGTGTCCATCTCTCCTTGCCCCTGCAGGGTGGCTACCCACCCACGAGTCAACTCCTGTGTGAAGTGCTGGTTCTCAGGCACTGTTCCCCAGATCAGGGTAGCTTGCTAATGCCAAGAGCCAGCTTCTTACACCTGGGAACCAGGTTGCCTATACTTGAATTCTAGTTTCTCTAGTGCTCATGAGACTGAAGCACGAAGAGGAAGTTTAGGTCTGTCTGAGTTACAGAGAGACTGTGAGACTCCAACTCTGTGTAAAAACAAAACGAAACAAACAAGCATCCGGGCCTTTCTGTAAGCCTTCAAAGGTTCTCTGGATCTCCTTGCCTTGGTATATTTAACTATGGGGGGATATAAAAAAATAAAGTTTAGAGTTCATCAGATTATTGATAAGAATGAAATGTGCTAGCCTAGCACACAGAAAGAATAAAGATATTTCCTGCAAATAAGTGCCTAATAAATATTAGTTATGTTTGTAATTATTCTTATCACCATTATCGTCATCATCTTGTCAGAATGTGCAAAGAGAAAGAGTGTTTTTAGTTCAGCACCAGGTATGCAGGCATTGAGTAGCCATGTCCCCCTGCACTATGGTTTAGATTGCTCCACAGACCATGGCGGGTATGCAGGTACTGAGTAGCCATGTCTTCCTGCACTGTGGTTTAGATGGCTCCACAGACCATGGTGGGTATGCAGGCATTGAGTAGCCATGTCCTCCTGCACTGTGGTTTAGATCGCTCCACAGACTGAGCACATTGGGGCTGTCTAGTTACTTTGATCTGTGCCCCTTAGCTCTGCCCACTAAGCACAGAGCAGAGACACAATACACACTCGCTGTGTATGTTCCTGGTGAGCTGTTAGCTCCAGGTCTGTTTCTAGAAAACAAAGGGCATTCTTTCTTATTTGGTAGTGACATTTATGAACATGGCACCGATGACTTCAAGAAACACTTGGAACCTAGGCAACAGCTTTCTCCAAGGCACAAGAAAATGTTTAAACACCCCACCCTGGGCCTTGGCATGCGGAGAGGGCGCCTTGCTAAACCCCCTCTTCCTCCTCCACTACAGTTAGGTGGAATACGACTCCTTAGGGGCTGTTGCAGAACCAGATGCCAGTGTCCACTCTGGATGTCTTAGCAGCTTCTTCACCCGCCACGGGGCAGTCTTCTGCCCTTGCTGCTCACTGAAACTGCCCCCGTCTTCCATGGGAGTGTAGAAGTGAGCTGTGCAGCATCTCAGCCCCCTGCTTGAGTTTATCTGAGGCAGAAACAATCAGGGAGGGGGTGACGTGTACAATGTGAATAGCTGAAGTCTGCAGTCTTTGTGGAGGCTGAAGTTTTATAAGCCTCTTGGTGACCAAACCACTTATTATTCCAAGTGCAGACAGGTTTACGATCTGAAATGCTCACTGTGTTGGTTGCTATGGGGAAACAGAGGAAAGTTCCAGCTCGGAGTTTGGAGTGATCACTTGTATGGGAAGGCCTGGCCCTCTCCTCTCCACTCCCATCCTGTGCCCCGGCTGTCGTCAGTTGCTACAGAGGCAGTGGCTTTCTCACTGTCACCTAGAATACAGAGACAAATACACAAAACTTGCCCTTAACTAACAAGTGACTTCTCGTCAACACCGCTAACGATACGCTTCATTCCAGACTTCTGTGCGTGGGTCCAATGGGCCTTCCTGCCGTGGCTTTATCTGCTGTTGGACCCTTGCTTTTCCCCCACCCCACACTCTGGCTGCCCAGCCCTGCACCTGAGCCTGAGGCCTGGCTCCCTTGAGGGCAATCCCACATTCCCAAACCTTGGCTTCTTGGTTGGAGCCAAGGGTGTTTCGTTCCCTGGCTTTTTGGTCAAAGACATTCCAGAGAGTTCCAGGGAATGAGAGTTGCCTTTAAACCTCTTCCAGAGTCCTACCGAGCTCTCAGAGTGGGAGTGACTCATATCCTGGCTCTGCCATTAGCTTGTGGGGTCCTAGACAGGCCACCCAGCCGCCCTCCTGGGTAGCTGGGGGAGGGGGACAGCCTTCAGAGCCTGGGAGCACTGTAAATGGCCTCCCTAAAGACCGTGGTGGTGATTCGGCCGGGTGGCAAGCCTCCATCCTCCTGAGCCCTTCTTCAGATCCCACAGATCACTGACGGAATAATCTTCCCTGTGTTCATGCTCGTGTCCCAGAGACCTCCACATAAATATTCTAAAAAAGCCTCTTGGGATATTTCTCTTTATGAACAATTTTTAAAGGAAAGAGAAAATACAGATTTCAGAAAGAACTGAATTGCCCTACCAGTGAAGATACTTTAACATTTTAGTACATACCAATAAGCTGTCAGTGAAAATGCCCAGTGTGGGGCAGACACCTATAATCTTGGCGTTCGGGAGATGGAGACGAAAGGATCAGGAGTTCAAGGTCAGCCTGAGCCACAGGAGACCCTGCCTCAAAACAAACAAAAAGCTACTGGTGAAATTGTTAATAAATGGTGGAGACAATCTTCTTGTCCCTTGCTCTTGACTCATGTGCACAGAGATCTCTTTATGCCAGGAATTGTCTCCCTTGTTTAAATGTTATTTGATAGCATGTTCCAGCATAGCAGCTGATAGCTTGATAACTGCACATTAAGAATTTGCACAGCCACCCTTTTTACTTGTATTATTATAACTTAAGAAATATACCCGATGGTTTTCTTAGGCCAAAGATGGGGCTACCAGTTTCACTGAGGCAGCTTTTGATGTGCACAGTGGTGCCCCATGCCCCCAGAAAGCTGTGGCCTATGTAGCTGGCAGAGAAGGACCTAGACTCATAATCCTGGGTGCTTCCTGAATCAGCAGTCTCAGAACGTGACAGCCGATGACAAGTGGAACTTACATTCGCTAGTCCTAAGGCCCTGCAACCATGCTCTTCTGCAGGATGATCTGACCTCGGCTGCCTGGCGCTCCCACCACACATAGCCACATGAGCTGACTGCCAGTCTCTCAGCCACACTACTCTCCCCTGCCAGCTGACAGAAGTGGCCCTGTCCCCTTTCAGATGTGGCCTCTCGTCAGTGGTTCTAGACTTCCCACCCACACCCGAGGAGGCTGTTGTACACACTCCTGGGTAGGGTGTGGGACTGAATCCTAAGTAGGGGTGTTCTGGATCAGCCCAGGCGGGGGCAGAACCCCAGGCCTTGGGGACTGAAATCTGACTGTACCCAGAGACAAGGCGCAGTCTTAAGTCACCTCTGCACCTGTAAGATGGATCATTCAGAACAATCCCCAAATAAAGATCAGAGGCTCCCTGAAACAACAAATCTATTTCTCTTGAAAATCAGCCAAAGAGAGGATTTATGGAGCCTTGACCCTGAATGATGGGAATAGTCTCACTCAGGTGTGCGTTGCACTGTGAACTTACCTAGACCTCAAATTTACCATCATTATGTGGGGAAGGGGTGGAAGGGGAGACCCCAAGCGCCCCACCTGTCACTGACTACCCTCTCTTCGCCCACAGTCAGACGGCTCCATCCTGGCAATTGCCCTGCTGATCCTCTTCCTGCTGCTGGCCCTGGCGCTGCTCTGGTGGTTCTGGCCTCTCTGCTGCACAGTGGTAAGTGGGCCAACTTCAGGCCATAACAGGCAAGGATCACCTGAAGACCCCAGGTCCATCAGCGGGGGTCAGGGAGACCAGAAACTGCAACAGTAGGAGATAAAGCTTGCTTGCTTTTTTTTTTTTTTTTGACAAAACCAGGCTTGGTCACTTGGACTTAGGAGGAGCGTGAGTCTTCAGGATGGGCGGGGGCAAGACCACCAATGGCAAAGCCGTTGGGTACAGACATGTAGAAGGCAAAGATTAAAGCATATGTGTTTGGTATTGGAAAAGCATGCAGCCGGTGCTGGGTGTGTTCACTATCCAAAAGCACATTGCTGGAGTTGGGATCTATTGATACTTCGTACCATGCTGGGTTTATATCGGTGGGAAATGTTTCCCAAAATAAACTTTTCATGACAGGAAGCAGTGTCATCCAAGGCAGGATTGTTTTGCAATTTTCAAAATAATTTTAAGCAAATTTATCTGGCTTAAGTCCCCATTGCCTGGGAAGGCAGCCAGCGTTGTCTTCATGTGGTCTCCTTTGTAAGGCTGAGGGTTCCTGGGTGAGGAAAGATCCTGGAGACAGACAGACAACCGCATTCTGTTTGTGATGCTGTTGACTGCCCCGCCCCTTATTGCTGACCCTTGACCTGCACCCCAGTGTTTCAAGTGCCCTCCAAACTCTGTGTTGACCACTCATTTCGGGGATCCTGGCTGGGGCCAGGATGAAGTCATGTGTTTCTGGAATGGGAGTGTGGTATGCAAGAAAGAGGGCCTCCCTACAGAGACCCATTCAGAGGTTTCTGGAAAGTTCCTCCACCCTGAGAGACTGCACCCCACAGTCCTCTAACTAACAGGCAGTGTCTTTGTCAGCCATGGTCCCCGAACCTTCCTCAGTCATTCTTCCTGCCCTTCCTCCAAGTGTGGGAAATGTCACTTGGACCCCATAACTGTATCCATGGTAAGGAAACCGCTGGAACCGTGGATCAGATTCACAGTGTCCAATAACCTGAAAGGTCTCCACCCTAGACAGATTAGTCCTAACCTTCCACTCTCTGCTTACCCAAGGCAGGGACGCAAAGTGGGACCAGCATCAGGCCCTTAAATTCTCTTTCTGAAAACACAGATAATGCATACATGTCCTCCATCCTGGTTGGTCAGTGCCGGTGAATTTACTGCCCCAGCTCTCACATGTGTCCCTTGCTGAGTAGGCACCGTGTTCCCCGTGTCTGCTCACGCTTCCAATATCTCTGCTCACTTTCGCCTGTATCCTGTGTCTTTTTCTCCAGGTTCTCTCCAACCCTCCTCTCCTCATCTTATCCCCAGACAGTGTCACTAAATTCAATGACTGACTACTTCATGTGGTCACCTATCCCTGGTGTGGGTATAAACAACCAGGCCATGCTCCATTATAGGGAACCCCTGGGCATCACGTTTGCAGGCCCCTCTCTCAGAACGTCTGTTCTCTGGTTTCCAGGGGACCTTGTGAGCAGTTTTCTAGTAGTTTTGTAAAGGTCACATTTGATTCATTTTCTTGAATCTCAGGGACTCTTTAACACATTAGCCTGTTGGACATCTCTGGTGACCAACTAGAACTCGATATGCCTTAAACTGAAACTAGAATAAAGTCTTCGGATATCGCCCTCCATCCCTGTCATAGACTGAATTGTAGGTTCAGACATCCACTCCCATCATCACCAAGGAGCTTGCCAGTAGTTTGTGTGATTTAAACCCAGTGCAAGCAGACAGCGGCTCATCCAGCATTGTGGGCTCGGACAGGTGTATGTGTTCCCTGATCGCTCTCCACCCTACACCACCCATCTGGATCTTCTCACTCCACTACTTAGGAAATGAGTTTTCACTATGCATCCCTGCCCTCCCCTCTCCATCCCTCCTCTCCTCTGCATCCCTGTCCTCCCCTCTGCATCTCTGCTCTCCCCCTCTGCATCCCTGCCCTCCCCTCTGCATCCCTCCTCTCCTCCACATCCCCGTCCTCCCCTCTGTATCCCTGCCCTCCACCTCTGCATCCCTGTTCTCCTCTGCAACCCTGCCTTCCCCTCTGCATCTCCACCTTCTCCTGCCAGCTTCCCTCCTCCACCTGAGCTCACCTCATGGCTTATCTTGAAATCCGTCCACCCACCCTTCTCCTGTGCCTACAGGTACAGGGGAAAGAGGCCAGCTGTCACTGGAGACACACTGCCAAAGTCTCGACTTCTGTTGTCAGTTGAAAGGATGGGGAAGTTCTTTAACCTCAGATCCCCATTAAATAACCAGGAACTGGTAACTGTGCTGTTTCCCATTGGTCTCCTTACAGTCTGCTTCCTCTGAGTCCCTCTGGAGATTCCCTGGTTTGGGGCTCTCAGATCAAGGTGCATTATCGAAACTACCTAAGGATTAGGTGATGAGGGACAGCTCTCCCAAACTGCATTCACTGGGCAGTAATGGCCCTCCAGATCAAAACGGCACACCTCAAATCAGAAAGAGTTCAGGCAATAGTTTGAAAGATGCCATTGAACTAGGCTGAAGACCGTCTTCATGGCAGGCTCCCTCGGGGCTTTATTAGAATGGTGTGTGTAGTGAATCCCCAAATAAACTGACCCTGGATCTTCTTTGGCCCTTTTTGTCCACAATCCCCAATGCCTTTGCATGCTCACACCAAGGACACTGGTATTCCACCAGAAATGATGAAGACATACAATCCCAGAGGAGGCTAAAACAACTCAAAATGCAGAATCCGGGACTGTGACGTGGCCTCTGCCCTCCCTCCCTGGAGTCTGCCTCAGGGTCTCCTAGCTCAAAAATACCACAGCATCATCAACACACTGACCTCTGTGGCCTAGCTCAGACTCCACTGACCCTGCTGGCAACTGGAAACAGTTGGCCCATAGCCCAGGCAGAGGTCAGAGGTTCTCCTCCTCCAAGCCAGGGCTTCTGAGCTCATGGGTTTATGTTACTGTGCCACTTCCCAGAGTTCCGCAGTGACCCTGGCATCACACTGTGTCCAGACGCTCCGCTAAATCACCAAGTCAGTCCCTTGGGCCTTATCCACTCCTCTTAGCATTCTGACTGTGACTGTCACTTTAGATATCGATAAATGTGGCCTCTTAAACAACCCCAGCCTCAGGCAAGTAAGAGGCACAAAACCGGTTCAGGATGGAGTTCCAAATGGAGAAAGAAACTCAGAAGGTCTTATCTCTAAAAAGATCTCTTATCTTTGAAGAGGTGTTGTACTTCCTTCCGAACACCTTGCCAAGCCTTTGCTCAGCCTGTGGGCTGTGAAAGCTGTAGATTGAGGTTTGCTGAGTCAGCAGCAATCACTTCACAGTCAGACCTGAGGTTTGTGTTAAACTCAGCCAGTTGATTTGTGGGAAGGGTGGTTGATCTGTCTGTCTTGGTCTTTCATATGGAGTTCCCACCTGCCTATGGCTTCCTGATTTTGATGCAAATGCTTATCTTAAGGCTTAGGGATGAGAACAAAAGGCTAGAGTGTAAAAGGCAAGCACCCCTCTCTCTAGTATTAGAGTCCTACATTTCTAGTGCCAATTCAAAGGAATCCGACACCCTCTTCTGGTCTCCTCAGGTACTGCACACATGTCATGTACATACAAACAGGTATGCATACATACATATAAATCTTAAAAATTAAATACAATCTTATGGAAACTACACTAAACTCAATAAAATTTTCATTCTTTTCAGTATCTTTAAGGCTTTAGCTTTTATTATACTTTTAAGTGTGTGTGTAAGTTAGTGAACAACTTGCAAAAGTCAGTTTTCTTACTACTATGTATGTCCTGGAGATGAAATTCAGGTCATCAGGCTTGTCCACAAGTACCTTTATCCACTGAGCCATCTTGTTGGCCCTAGGCACCACAAATTATGATTTTAAAAAAATACTACAGAAAATATATACTTTTGATCTGGTATAAAAAGAGTGAGCACACACAGTGTGGTTGTGAGCATTAAGGTGACATAGTAATGCCCCTTAGGTCAGAGACTAGCCAGGAGGAAGGACATGATGGCTGGGGCTCACTGTCTTGGTATTCTCTCAGCACTGTCTGAGATGGAAAACCTGCTTGATTACTCTCTACATTCAAAAAAATCATGGTGGCGAATCATGGTGGCGAATGCCTGAACTCAGGAGGCAAAGGCAGGTGGATCTCAGTGAGTTCTAGGACAGCTAGAGCTGTTACACAGAGAAAACCTGGCTCAGAAAAGTACACATATGTATATACATATATATTTACATATATATGCGCTTCTCACAAGGCCCAAGAGCCACCCCGCTCCACCATTGTTCCTTCATATGCCCGCGGCCCATGTATAGCAAAAGAGAGATCAAGAGCCCCATTGTCTTCTCTCTAGAACCCACTCTCCTCTCCCATGAAGCCACGTTGGGCTTCTTTGCCCCTGGCTCTCCCAGAATTCCATTCCTTTCACCTCTGTCTAAGCATCTTTGCCACACAGTGAAGGTTTCTTCTTCATTCAGTCCTTGGTTCATATAACCAGGACACATCCCTGCCTCACCTTGTGGTTATAGCCAGGACAAACACCTACCCCATAGTGTTGCTGTAACCAGAACACACCCCTACCCCACGGTGTTGTTGTAGCCAGGACACACCCTGTCTCACAGTGTTGTATACAGTTCTCCATAGAGAAAAGAGCACACGCTCAGGACCACTGTCCCTGCTTGATTGCACACTCATAAATGGAAGCAAGAAAGCAGATGAGGTGTGAATTCGTGTGTAAATTTTGTGTTTCCCGCCCAACTCACTACCAGTCAGCTTACCTTTCCCCTCAGGGACACTAAAAAGATTTGTCACATATTTCTCTACATCTGATGGTGAACATTCCACGAGTCTATCACCACTACCACACACACAAAGCTAAAATACTTGTTAATTTCTCTTGGCCTCCTCTGAAAGTCATCTCTTTCAAGCTAGTACAATTTCTCAGTTTTACAATTAAAAAGAACTATTGTGCCTGTAGCACGTAAACAAACACACATGGGATGGAGC